TGTGGGCATCGGAGCCCCCTCAGAGTCGTCCGCTGGGGGCGCAGGGGCGGCCTCGGAGTCGTCCGCAGGGGGTGAAGGGGCGGCCTCGGAGTCATCCGTTGGGGGCACGGGGGCGGCCTCGGAGTCGTCCGTGGGGGGCACGGGGGCGGCCCCCTGGTCGGTCACGGTGGGCAGTGCCTGGTAGGTCAGGGTCCAGTACCGCAGGAAGTTGGTCCTCAGGTGCTGCTTCATGGAGCTGCTGTCCATCTTCTTGTTGATCTCCAGGTAGTTGCCGTTCTCCCTGGTGTAGGGGTCCCAGTGCGTGGGCACGGCGGAGTGGCCCATGTTGGGGTCCCTGCAGTGAGAAGAGGGTGGGGAGCTGTGTCATCCCCGGCTCTGTGCCCCTGAGCGGCCTCCGGCGTGGCCCCTGCCGTGTAGCAACATGGCTGATCACTCGTGCAGGTCTTGGGGCTCAGCCGACAGCTCGAACCTCACATCTACACCAGGAGACCCCGACCCAGGGCTCAGGGAGGCAAGTGAGGGTCAGGGACTGGAGCCCAGGCCTGCGGGCCCGTGGCGGACGGGCTGGCATTGGTGCCCTGGGCGCTGGCTCAGCCCACGTACCCAGTCTTGGCGAAGTTGGTCCAGTAGGCAATCATGGCCTTCGAGACTGTCCGGTCTTGGGCGCGGTAGCCCAGGGGGGTGGCGAAGGGTTTCCCGAAGACGTACTGGATGTCGTCGGCGTGGTCGGCCCCCACCCACTTGGGGTAGACGGGCATCCGAGAGGGGTGGGAAAACAGGTAGGTGTAGGTCTTGGCACTCCTGATGGGAGGAGAAACACCCAGGATGGCATGTCAACAGGTGGCCTGGAGGGAGGCCGTGGGGGCACAGAGGAAGGGCTGGGAGATTTCCACAGGATTCGCAAAGAAGGAATTTTACGTCTGGGGAAGGGAAAGCTTTGGGCCAAATTAATGAATTCCTGGATTCTATGATCTCAATTATATTTCCACCTCATCTCTGCAAAACTTCCCGAGGTATCTTCCTCCTGTAATTTTCTATCAAGAAAGATTAGAGTTTTTCTTCGAAGTGAATTTGCATTCTTCATTTGATTGGACCAGGTAGATGTCTTTAGCTATTTCCCTTTTTGCCTTGACTGACAGGAAGCTCAGAGCTCTATTTATTACTTACTTGCTGTAAAGCTGTCGTGCTAGGTTTCTAGGTACCATTTTATCTTCCTACCATTTCCACATCCCTAGCTTCCATTTTATTAACTGGCTATTATTATACAGAGGTCTTTAACGTGGCAGGAGGTGGAAGGTGGCCTCCAGAGCTATCCAGTGGGCAGAGGACACAGGAGGGTTTGTAAAAGTCCTTGAGACCGAGAGGTGGGCAGGGTCATCAGGACTCCCCAGGTCCCAGCAAGCCACTGGTTCTGGCGCAGGCAGGGATGTGGTTACCCGGGAGCCACCCCGCCCAGTCCTCACTTGGCGTTGGCCCTGTGCTGGGCCAGGGCGATCTCCGTGGGCACCAGGAAGAGGATGTCAGTCTCGAAGTCCACCACGGTCTTCTTCCTGGTCTCCTGGGATGGGTCCTGGGCCCAGGACTCGGTGTAGATGCCAAAGGCAGACTTGGCGCCCTCGGAGCCCTTGGTGATGGTGAGCCCGCTGACCAGCTTGTAGAAGTCCTCCCTGCAGGGACCACGCAGGCGCTGGACCCTCCCCGTGCACACCCAGCGGCAGAGGGCTGGCTTCCTCACTCCCACCCCTGCTCCACTGGCCTGCCCCGGGCCGATGCATCCCAGCCGCCCTCGAGCACAGGCCCCTCCTCACTCCGTGACATCCTGCTTGTCCTTGTTGATGGCTGGCACGTCAATGCTTGCGAAGATGTGGCCGTCCATGTTGTTGGTGCCCGCTATGTAGTCGATGTCGGCGGCGTTGGCGTACAGGTTGACAGGGTCATCAGGGATGAAGTCTCCATCGATGACAGGGACGAAGCCCAGATAGTGCAGCATGGGGTCTGCAGGGAGAGCCGGGAGGTCCCAGGACCCGCCATGGACATGGGCGGGCTGGAGCTGCAGGCTCCACGCTTCCCTGGTCTACACCAGGTTCTCCCCCCGGGGCTATGGACACGGTGGGACCGTTTTCTGTCATGGGGCCATCCCTTGCAGTGTAGGGTGAGTGGCACCCCGGCCTCAACCCATGGTGCCAATACCACCCTCGCCCGGGAGCCAGGTCTATCCTCTTGCTTCAGGGTCACTCCCTCCCTGTCCACTCCCTGGAGAAACCGGGAAGGAGGAAGTCTTGGCTGCGATAGCGCGGCTGAGGGAGAAGCACTCCCCTCTCCCGGGCGGACTCTAGGCTGTTGGACAAAACTCGTGCAGGGCCTGTGTGGCCCCTAGGCCCTTAGAAGGTCCTAGAGGGCCACGTGTCTGCCGGGGCAGGTGATGCGCTGGCTTCCTCAGGCCAAGCCCAGCCATCTCTTCCAGTTCAGCTCCAAGCAAGTGTCTGGTTTGCATTTGGGACTGGTGTGTCTTTAACTACGAGGAGGGAGGAGACACCCCTCAAGGGGGCATGGGCACGCCACAACCCCTTAGCCATTTCGCCATCTTGTCGGGATCTTGGGCATGCTTGCACACACCTGGCATGCTCCCCAAGCCTCTAGGCCGGGATTTGAACCACAGTCAGCCACAGGCCGTCCAGCTCCCTTAACCACTAGGCACAGGCCAGCCCAGGGCGTGCCCTGGTGTGGGCGCTTGCACTTTAATTCCCATCAGCCAGATGAAATGCCGGGCACGCTGTGCTCTATTTAGAACGAGCTGGGGATCCCAGGCCTCTGGGCTGGCCGGGCTGGCTCTCGGGGATGTTTGCTGAGGGCCCTGCCAAGCCTCCCCGGGTACAGAGCAGCGGAGCCGGAAGGGCCGGCGCTGCCCGCAGGTGGCGAGCCAAGGAGTGTGGGAAAGCGCGATGGTGCTTCCGCAGGCTCTTGGCTGGGTCCTGCGGGTGTCCCTGACCTAAGCAAACTGCTGGGTCAGTGTGCACGGGCGAGCGCTGCTCATCGGCTTTGTGGAAGGGCACGCCCGGATCACGGGCGAGAAGGGTGCCCCCCACCCGTGCAGGGCCCGAGTCTTCGGGAGGGACAGCGAGCTGCCTGGGGATGCGAGGGGGTGGGTGACAGGGCCAGGTCCTACCCGGGCACCTTCCTCTCTCCCTGCCGTCAGGGCCCTGCCCTGTGCCCACCAGCAGCACCCACTCACACTCCATGCCCGCCAGGGGCATCTTGTAGGCCAGCGTCAGGGCGCGCGGGTCGGTGACCTTCATGCACTTGGCCATTCTGGCGGTGTCGTCCACGGGGCAGCCCACCTTCTCGGCAATCTGCATGGGCAAGGTGGGCAGCAGGTGAGGCCCACGTTCGGGACGGCGGTGGAAGTGAGGGCGGCCCCTCGGCAGGGCACCCCTGCCCGCCCAACTCACCCTTTTGGCCCAGAAGAGGGGGTTCTTCTGGATGACCCAGGGGCTCAGCGCCACACCGCTCTGGCTGATGGCTCGTCGGATGAGGCCCTTGTTGTAGGGGGAGAGGGTCTGCGACACCAGAAGTCCCGTCACCAAGGCCACACAGGGCTCTGCCACCCGTCGGCCTGGACACTGCACCACAGCCACGCCAGCCCCTGCCTCCCTCCAGCCCCACCATGGGCGCCTTCCCACCCAAACCCCTGGGGGCGGCCCTCCCCTCCAGGGGTCCCCAGACCTGCAGAGACACGCTGGCGCCTCCAGCTGACTCCCCAAAGATGGTGATGTTGTCGGGGTCCCCGCCGAAGGCCGCGATGTTCCTCTTCACCCAGGAGATGGCCATGTGCTGGTCCCGTAGTCCGTAGTTACCTGGGGCCAGGCAGGGGAGGGCCTTCATCGGACCCCGGCACAGCGGGTGCCAGGCAGTGCAGGGGTGGGTGTCCTCAACTACGCTGAGACCCCAGCAGAGCCCAGGACGGCAAAGGCGGTGTCCCAGGAGGGTGGGAGGGGCCAGGGCCCTGTCTCCGCTCTGCCCTGCCAGTCCCTCCTGGCACCTGCCCTGCAGCTCCTGTGCCACCCATGCCATCTGCTGCCTCTCACTCAGCTTCCCTGTCCCTGCTCCCCCTTGGGCAGGGTGGAGTCTAACTGCCCGCCTGTCCATCTGTCTGCCCTGCAGCCCTTTTACTCCCTACAGCTGCCAGAGGCTCCCATGTCTCGGATTCACCCCAGTTCCGGGCTCTGAGAATAGCCTTTCTGAGGGGCTCCCCATAGCTTGGGGTTGAGGGCACCGAGGGCCGCCCCTGCTGGCTCAGAGCTCGCAGGGCATGCGCACTGCCAGCCTTTCTGAGGGGCTCCCCGTAGCTTGGGGTTGAGGGCACCGAGGGCCGCCTGGCTCAGAGCTCGCAGGGCATGCGCACTGCTGTGTCAGCCCAGCGTCCAGGCCCTGCAGACCTGGCAGGT